GGTGCCCCCACCGGGACGTGAACCGGCAACCTTCTTGCTGCGAGGCCAACATAAATCTGTTTGGTCCTTATATAGCTTTTACACTGTCAATTATTCATTCACATTCACACACATTCATTCTGGTGGTGGTAGCTACGATTGTAGCCACAGCTGCCCTGGGGCAGACTGACAGAGGCGTGGCTGCCATTCTGCGCCTACGGCCCCTCCGACCACCACCTCAAACAATCCATTCATACGCATTCACACCAGGCAAGGTGGGTGAAGTGTCTTGCCTAAGGACACAACGACCATGAAACAGGTTACACCAACCACCAACCTTCCGATCATCGAACGACTCGCTCTACCACCTGAGTCACAGCCGCCCTATTATGTGGTGGAATTGCTAGCTCTACGGTCAGCCCTCCTCCTTTATCCGGGCTTGGGACCGGCAAAGTGACCCAAAGACACACTCTGGCAGAGTTACTGACATTTTATTTATTTATTTATTTTTTTATCTTTTTTTTTTTGTTGTTGTTGCTAACCCTAACCTAACTATATATTTTCAAAAACCTAACTATATATTTTCATGCATTAGTCATGTATGAGAGGATGATCCTTTCATGTATGAAGAATAAATGCTCTTTAATTTATCAAATCATATATGACAGTATCAGCCTCTCGTACATGATTTGAAGTCACGTCTAACCCTAATCCTATATATCAATCTTTATTTTAATTATAATGGTCTAAATCTGGATCAAATGTCGACTTCTGGCACACCAGCATGCTCAGGAGCAGATGGACCCATGCTGGGTTTGTCAGCCCGTGAACAACCATCTTCCTGAGACAGCCTCACATCAGTACTATTGGTATCTGTGAGGGGGACCACAATTAGTGGTGTTTCCTGAGGCTGCAGTTCTTCCTCAACGGCCTCTACTGGTCGGGGATGCCCGTCAACTTTCTTCAAAAACCGGGGCTTAACCTTGTCTTTTGCAGGCTTCCTGGCCTTCTGGAGCTGACTGTCTTTCTTGAAAGATGGCTGAAGAGGGAACACAATTATTGGTGTTTCCTGAGGCTGCAGTTCTTCCTCAACGGCCTCTGCTGGTCGCCCAACGACTTTTTTTCCAAAACCAGGACTTAACCTTGTCTTTTATAGGCTTCCTGACCTTCAGGAGTTGACGGTCTTTCTCGGCTAGTTCTTTTTTCAGTCTCAAATTCTCCTGACGAGCTTCACCGCATATTTTGTTCAGTCCCTCTGTGGTTTGCGCCCACTGTAAATCATTGTCAAATAAACGTTTCTCCAAGCGTTGGATCTGATTGTCTTTATGTTTCTCGATTCTAGGATACCTTTCATTAATCTTGTCTAATGTATCCTTAACGAGTTGCTTCGTCTCACCAACATCTGAAGCCGTCTGGTTTGCTTTTGACACAGCAGCTACTTGGGTCTTTCTTTTTTGCTGTGTAATTTTTTTGAACTCTAATTTGCTCTTCTCTTGTTTTAGAATGCCTATCTGTACATCTTTTTTGAACAACAAGGCTTGTTTTTGTTTGAGTTCATCTTCTAGGATTTGTATTTTGTCAACTTCCCGTTGGCGCTCCTTCTCTGCTCTGGACGTTTGCACTTCTGAGTCCTTTCTCATAACTTCCTCCACCATGAATTTATATTGACAGCTTTGGCTGTCATTCTTCTCTTTTTGATCTTTCATTTCAATGATACGATCTTCAAGCTTTTCTTGCTGCTCTTTAACTTTCAGACCAGCTGCCACAATTTCCTTCTCTTTTTGCTTGAGACGACCCAATTCAATGGCAAGTTTAAATTCTTTCTGGCGCGTTTTAGTGGCATCTAAAGTACCTTCTTCCTTTACATTTTGTGCTTCAGCTATGGACTTTTCTAAGCACTCAGTTAAATGCTTCACCTCTCGCTGGTGTTTGGCGTCGCTTTCACAGAGCTTCGAGGTTAATCTGTCACACTCCTGTTGTTGTTGCAACACCTGTTGGTTTGCTTCTTGCAGCTCTTTATCGCATCTCTGTCGTTCTTCCTCGTGTCTCTGTCGTTCTTCCTCCAGCTTCCCCTCAAGCTGCCTACATCTCGCTTCAGAGACACTATTCTTTTTTTCCAGAAGGCTCACTTTCATCTCAGTCTGCCTCGTCAGGTTTCCACCTGGCTGAGTTCTGTCTTATAGGTTGCCTGCACTTGACAAAGCTCGTCTATACGCTTATTTCTTTCACACACTAATTGTTTGAGTCTGTGACCTTCTTGCTCTAACA